GGAACCGTAGGCCACCGCCATGCATGGTTCTAATTTTTTATCTGTTTTGAGAGATGGCGGTCTCCCGTTGTTGCTCAGGCTGGTCCCAACTCCTGGCCTCCAAGTGATCCTCGCTGCTTTGGCCTCCACAAGTGCTGGGATTATAGGCATGAGCCACTGTGTTTCGGGCCAGCAATTCCTTTTCCTTTTTTTTGAGATGATGGTCTAGAATCACTTGAACCGGGGAGGTGGAGGTTGCAGTGAGCTGAGATTGTGCCACTGCACTCCAGCCTGGGCAACAGAGCAAGACTTCATCTCAAAAACAAAAACAAAACAACAGCAACAAAACCCGAAAAGACAGATGATAACAAGCATTGGTGAGGATGTGGAGAAACTGGACCTCTCATACTCTGCTGATGGGGATGTAAAAAACTGCAGCTGCTGTGAAATTCAGCTCCACATTTCCCCCAAAGGTGAAGCATAGTTAACATATGACCCAGCAATTTTATTCTTAGGTACATAATCAAGAGAAAGGAGAATATATGTGTAAAGCCTTGTACACAAACGTTCGCGTGGCATTATTCATAATAGCCAAAAAAAGGACACAACCCCAATGTCCATCAGTGGATGAATGGATAGATAAAAGTGGTCTATCCATGCAATGGAATATTACTCAGCCATAAAAAGGAATGAAGTATCAGCCAGGTGCAATGGCTCACGCCTGTAATCCTGACACTTTGGGAGGCCGAGGCAGGCAGATCACTTGAGTCCAGGAGTTTGAGGCCAGCCTAGACCACATAGTGAGACCCCGTCTCTTAAAAAAAAATTGAATGAAGTATCAACACAGGCTACAACATAGATGAGCACTGAAAACATGCGAAGTGCAAACAGCTAGGCACAAAGGCTGTGCGATTCCCTTTATATGAAATGTCCAGAATCGGCAAATCCATACAGGCAGAAAGTAAACTGATGGGTGGGAAGGAGGAGGAACAGTGTTGGAAATTATGGCCAAGGAGTGTGGGATTCCTTTTGAGTCGATGAAAATTGATTGTGGGGATGGTTGCACAACTCTGTGAATAATCTGAAAATCATCAAATGGTACGCTTTAAATGGGTAAATTGTATGGTGTATAAATTATATCTCAGTAAGTTTCTTTTAGAAAAAACAAAAACCAAAAATCAGGGCCTTCCTGACATTGGTGAAGACCTAAAGTTATAATACATTTTCAAGCCTGGTGCTATTCCTCCCAAGCACGGTGACTCAGATGCCAGCATGATCACCAGGTGTGCCCTGAGATCCTCGCCTCCTCCCTGGGGATCCAGGGTGTTGCCTTGCGCTTTCCCACCTTCCCCAGGCGTGCCCTGCCCTGCTCGCCCTGGCAGGCCTGGAGTAGAGCAGAAAGGAATCCTGCCCGTCCCGTGGCTTCCTTCTGCTGCAGCCTGGCACCGTTTCCTCTTGCCTGCTGCTGCTGCTTCCTCCCTCCCGCCCAGCTTGCTGAGAGCACGTCTCAGATTCGAAAACCATATGAGATTCAGACTGTGCACCTGAAGCTGCCCCCTGGGGCTTTCTGTGCTGTCGGCCACTGCAGAGATCTGGATCCTCCTCACATCCCACTTACCTAACGTAGGAAAAGACGATCACGTGGAAGAACCACTTAATGGTGCCATAATTCATGCTCTGGATCCGAGTGACTTTGGTCGTCTCATACTGGAAAACATCACTGCAGCTGCAGCAGGCCGGCATGGTGACAGGCTCCGTCCCTGCGCGGAGCTGGACCAGAGCGCTACTCTTCCTGATGGGGCCACAGCAAGCCCCCTCCCAGTAACTGCAAAATGAAACGTACTGATTTTTAGCAGGAGCCTTCAACTTCAAGCTCCTCCAATGACTGCAGAGTTGGGGCGGGCCCTGGCAGTTGCCCCAGATGCGGCTGCGATAAACAAGAAGAGCCAAGTCCTACGGGCCTGGCTGGCAGATGACCTCGCCCCAGCTGGCCTCCCCCAGATGCCTACACAAAGATGGTGTTCAGAGGACGGGCATTTTTAGAATTCTCTCTTTCCCCCCTTTCCTTTCACTTTTTTGGTTTCATTTCTGTTGGAAGAAAGGGGTAGCCGTGCAAATGTCACAAGACCCGGAGCTTCCATTGTGCCTCAGAAAAGGGCTGAGATCTTTCCATTGCCTGAAGCCCCACTCAGAGATTGATTCATTCATTTCTACAACCCTTTATTCAGCCCCTGATGTATAGGAGCTCTGAGTAAATGAAGATCTCCCTCTCTTCTTCCGCCGCCCCTTATAATACTCTGGTCTGCAGTTGGTGGGGGACATCAGATTTGCAGGGGTAGGCGTGGTGGGGGTGGAGGGGCGTTATTTTTCTGCCAGATCTTTTGTGCTTGACCCTCTGAGTTACTCTCCACCCTGCTCTGCACCCCGGAAGGTCAACCCATGACCTAGACCTGAATCAGCTGAAGATCACCAGGGACACAGTGGCAGTCCAACAAAGTTAGGTTTATTGACCTATTCCGTGAGGGACACCACCCACCAGAAGAGCTACAGCACATCAGCAAACAAAGGGAGACAGCGATTTATTATAGGATTCCGAGGAAAGTGGAGTTTAGATAAAATCTAAATGAAGCCGTTTTGATAGACTACGAGCACAACAGGTTTGTACAAAGCAGTCAACGTCAAGTCTGGATTGCAAAGAGGACCCAGGGCCCTGCTTCCTAGGAAGCAACATAGCTAAGATAAATGTCAAATGTGTCCAGAAACTCTTTATCTGAAGCTCTGCTCCTGAGTTGTAAATTGAGGCTGCTTCCCTGTGTCAAGATGACTTAGATCCTCCAGGCAAAATTGGAATATTTCAGTCTTGGTCATGTAATTTCAAACAGCAAAGTTTCTGAAGGTCTCTGATTTTAAAGGACAATGTTTCAGCAGTCACTCAAAGATGCTGGGTTGTATTATCACTTGACAGCTACAGAGAAATATTGTTCCCTGTTGTCTTTACAGCTGGCTTGATCCATTTCTGTTATTCCAGCCTGCTAAGTGGCCGGGTAGATTTTTAGTTTTTCAGTCTAAACTAATTGTACTTTCCCACCCATACAAACTGCATCAGGGTTCCCCTCACCCTCTGGCTTCCAGTTCAGGAGACTGGAGAGCAGTGAGGATAGACATGACTCCCTGGCCCTGCCCTTCTCAGTTGCATATAGGCGGGGCTTCTGGGCACCACTCCCTCCTTTAGTCCTGAGAGTGGTAAGGGCTCCCCACTCTTGCCAGCCCCAGGCAGCTCACTATCCCCTATTGCTTTTTCTTAACTCTGTCCACACCTTTGTAGATGGTTCCATCATTAGTTACCCCACCTGAGTATGCCATTGCTTTCCCGCCGGGAATCTGAGTGATACGGCCATCTTCATCTGTAAAAAGAGGGGATTCGCAGGTAAAGCCTGATGCTTAGAACGTAGGCTCTAGGGGACTAATGGCCTGGCTTCCAATCCTGGCTTCACATTTTACCAGCTCTGTGACCTTGGACAGCTCTGTTTATGCTATTCATTCACTCATTCATTCACTTATTCCCAAGAGCGCCGGGAATAGTAGATATAGCAGTGAACAGGCAGACAAGTCAAATGTCCATCCACTGATGGATGGATACACAAAAGGACAAAAGTCCATACAAGCGAATATTATTCAGTCATGAAAAGGAATGAAACACTGACCCATGCTCCAATATGGATGAACCTTGAAAACATTACGCTAAGTGAAAGAAGCCAGACACAAAAGGATACATCTTTTATGACTCCATTTATAGGAAATGTCCAGAATAGGCAAATCACTTCAGCGTCGCTCTTGCTACCACTCAAAGACGTCTATTTTCTTGTCTGTCTTCTTTTTTCTTTTTCTTTTCTTCTTCTTTTTTTTTTTTTTTTTGAGATGGAGTCTCCCTCTGTTGCTCAGGTTGTAGTGCAGTGGCAAGATTTTGGGTCACTGCAACCCCTGCCTCCTGGGTTCAAGCGATTCTTGTGCCTCAGCCTCCTGAGTATCTGCAATTACAGCCATGCACCACCACACTCGGCTAATTTTTGTGTTTTTAGTAGAGATGGGGTTTCACCATGTTGGCTAGGTTGGTCTTGAACTCCTGGTCACAAGCGATCTGCCTGCCTTAGCCTACCAAAGTGTTGGGATTACAGGCGTGAGCCACTACACCCGGCCTGTTTTCTTGTCTTTCTGCTGCACTCTTGCACTGGTCCCTCATGCTCTCCCCTCTCCACTCCTTCAGCCCTTGTCCGCTATTTCACCACTGCCACCTCCACCACTCCACGGATTCTGTTCTCAACGAGGTTACCAAAGACTTCTCAGTTGCCAGACTCGGTGGATATATTTTATTCCTTATTTTACTTGATCTCTTGGATGCATTCAACATCACTGGCCACTTTCTGCATCTTGGACTAGTTTTTTCCCCTTGGTTTCCATGACTTTCCTGGGTCCCATGTCCAGCAAATTGTTTCTCAGCACTTTTTATGATTCTATTATGATAGGACAGGTTATGCTGCAATAACAAAGCACTCTCAGTATCTCATGGCTTATAGCAGTGATGAATTAATTCTCACTCACACTCTATGTCCATCATGGGTCTCCCAGAAGGCTCTGCTCTCTGTAATCACTCAGAGATCGAGGCTAACGGAACGGCCACTGTCTTGAACTCTTTAATGAGAACTCTGGAGAGTCTCACAGCAGCAATGAAATGTTCTGACCTCGTGATGGAAACAATGTAAAGTTACCAAAAAAAAAAAAAATTGGGGATTGAATGGTGGATTTCTTAGTTGTGTGAGTGTGTAGGTGTGTTTACAATTTACAGAAAATCAAGTGACATTCTTCAGCAGGAAAGGGAGGCCTTTTTTTTTTTTTTTTCCTTTGGAAACACTTATCTGACAGACTGCCAGTGCAGGAAATGTGCCCAACCTTATGAGAACCTATTAATAGAATCAGAAACTAAACTGTCCTGTGCCGAGGTTGCTCTTTCAGTTTGTCTGAAGCCCGCCTCTCTTTGTCTCTCTGTGTGCCCATTGCGAGTCTCTAAACACCAACTTCCTCTGTTTCTCCCAGGGCACGTGGTTCCGCAATGCTCTCCAAGTTAAGTTCCGCAGTTCAAATGCAAGCCCAGACCCCCTGCCCAGCCAGTTCCAGAACTCAAGGACTCAAGAGAAATGACTCTGATTGGCCTAATTGTTTATCCCTGGTCCAATCAGCTATAGCTGTGGGTGGGGCTATAATCAAATATGGCGTCAAGGGTCAGCGTCCATGAGGGGAGAAGGGAGGGAGGAAAAAAAGGAAGGTGATTGAGAGAGAGAGAGAGGAGAGTGGTGGGGAGAGAGAGAGGGAGGAGAGAGAGAGAGAGAATGTGACTCTCAGAGAATAGAGGCTCCAAGGCTGAGGGACTGCTGGTTAAATACCCCAATTCCTCCCCAAGGTGGGACAACTCTGATACACGTCTAGGCCGTCTCCAGAGGGCCTGAGGGGGACTGAGCCCAGACGCCCACAGCCGTGACTGGCTCTTTAATTAATTTATTAATTTTATTTATTTTTTTGAGATAGAGGCTTGCTCTGTGGCCCAGGCTGGAGTGCAGTGGTGCAATCATGGCTCACTGCAACCTCTGCCTCCTGGGTTCAAGTGCTTCTCTTGCCTCAGCCTCCCGAGTAGCAGGGACTACAGGCAAGTGCCACCACTCCCGGCTAATTTTTGTATTTTTAGTAGAGCTGGGGTTTCACTATGTTGCCCAGGCTGATCTAGAACTGCCGACCTCAGGTGATCCACCCGCCTCAGCCTCCCAAAGTGCCGGGATTACAGTCGTGAGCCACTGCGTCCAGCCTGCTGACCTGCTCTTCAATCGTGGCGGATCTCCCGGCTCACTGAAGCTCGCCTCCTGGGTTCACGCCATTCCCCTGCCATCCACTCCGAGTAAGTTGGGCCTCAAGGCGCGCCACGCCACACC